TCCACTCCAGCTCCTATTTAGGACTCCATTTACAGCCCAGCTTTGAGCGACACGAATCCAACACCCAACAGTCCCCTTTTGTCTCGAACTTCAGGGAGGACAATCCTTTAGGCATCATTCTGGTTCCAAAGCAAACAGGAGCTGATCCCTGGTGCTGACTTCTCTTCAGTGACCTGGGAGGAAGGAGGCTGCTGATGTGTCAGTCACACATTTGGGGTGTAAGCCTTGGATTCTGGGATAATCCCTCCCGGATGGAATTGCCCGACCTCACTTCGGATTAGGTTGAGGGTTCTTTGTAACCCTTCCTGAATCCAGCGACCCAAAGGGATGATACATCAAAACACGGATCAAGGGGGCTGGAGTGACGCGTGACACGAAGTAATTTCACCCAATTATGCGTCAAAACTCGTTTGGGGATGTCGTGATCACAGCCTTGTCACGAGGGCGCCGGTGGAGACGCCCAAAAGTCACCAGGGTGGGTCTCAAACATCACAGAACCATTTCAGCCGGGCAAGCCCTCCATTCCAACCCTTTCCATGAAAAAAAAAACAAAAAAACCCTCCCTGAAATTCTTCAGAAGGGAGGTGGAGCTTCGAAATTATTTCATATTTTTCAACATCAGCTCACGCCGAAGGCAGACTTGGAGGGCTGAACTTCCTGGGCCCCACTTGGCAAATCACGGGCAGAAAACAATAAGCAGGGGTCAGTTTCCATTGTAAATGCAGTGATGTCATCAGAGGGAGATTGCACAGCCACTGGGCTGTAAAATTTCAGCCCAGTAAAACGCTCAAATTTATGATATGAGGCTCGCATTGTATATGTCTGGGGTTGATTTGCTAATTAGAAACTATGAAAAATAATTACTGGCATCAGAGGAGTCACAAAGGGAAAATAAAAAAAAAAAAATCACAGTTTGGTAAGTGGTGGAGATTTTATCAGATGGTTTCACATCCTTCGAGCTGCCTGCAAAGAGGTATAAAAGCAGGAACATCTCGGGAGTCTCCTAAAACCTTCTCCTGACTTCTCCTGCTACTCCAGGTAAGTTGGATTTAAGCTGATGCTTCCTATCCGGGGTGTTTCTGTTTAGTTTAAATGAGGACTCTTTCCTGGGCCTGTACATTGTGATTTTAGCCTTGACTTGTGGCCGTGAAATCCTGCTTTTCATGGGAGACTCCCTGCAGTAAGTTGGAGAGGGTGGCAGAAACCAATCTGACATTTAAAGAGGATTTTAAAGAGTTCCTTTATTTTTTTCTTGTGGCTTTCAAAACTTGAGGGGGCGAATATAAAGTTTACTGGATAAAGAAGAGTCCTGGGCATCCTCCACAGGGTAGAAGGGAGGAAAAAAAGGTGCCACAGGACAGGAGGATTTAAGGGGCTTTAAATTCAGAAAGAACATGGAGGGGATGGAGCGTGTCCAGAGAAGGGAATGGAGCTTGAGCAGCAGGAGAAGGGGCTGGAGAAACTCCTGAGGGAGCTGAGGGGGCTCAGCCTGGAGAAAAGGAGGCTCAGGGGGAACCTTCTGGCTCTGGAATTCCCTGGAAGGAGGTTGGAGCTGGGGGGTGTTGGGCTCCGCTCCCAGGGAACAGGGACAGGAGGAGAGGGAACGGCCTCCAACTGTGCCAGGGGAGGGTCAGGTTGGGTATAAGGAGGAATTTCCCCATGGAAAGGGTGGTGAGACCTTGGCAAGGGCTGCCCAGGGAGGTGGGAGAGTCCCAAAGGAAGGCCTGGCTGTGGCACTGAGTGACAAGGTGGGGATGGGGCACAGGGATGGGCTGGATGGGCTTGGAGGGCTTTTCCAACCTCAGGGATGGATTTTGGGATTCTGTGACTGGGAAGGACAAGGGTCTGATCTGCCCACCATTTCTGCCCTGTGTGTGTGATGGGAACCCATCAACCCCCCGGGGCCGTGGTGGTTTCCTGACTTCCCACCTTTGTCTTTCTCCAGCTCCACCTCCAACCCTGAGAACCATGAGCAGCATCAGCTCCCGGTGCCTGGCCAACTGTGAGGTGACCTGCCCCGAGCCCTGTGCCTACAGCAGAGGCCTTGGCTCCTGCGTTGCAGCCTGTGGTGACTCCACAGCTGTCGTTTACGCCCCTCCAGTCGTTGTCACCTTCCCAGGCCCCATCCTCAGCAGCTGCCCCCAGGAAACCGTTGTGGGATCGTCCTTCCCCCAGCCCTCCGGTGCTCTGACCCCGAGGATGGGAGGCTCTTATGGCTCTTATGGTTCTGGGGGCTCCTATGGCTCTGGGGGCTCCTATGGCTCTGGGGGCTCCTATGGCTCTGGGGGTATGGTAGGGATGGGGGGCTCCTCTGGATCTGGGGGTTCCTACAGCTCTGGGGGCATGTCGGGCATGGGGGGTTCCTCTGGCTGGTGCAGCCCCTATGGATCTGGAGGCTCCTCGGGGATAGGGGGGTGTTACAGCAGGAGGTTCTACACCAGCAGCAGCCGTGGGTCCCGCCTGGGAAACTGAGGCTCCTTCCAAGGCACCTGAAAACCCCCAGACCCCTCAAAGAACCGGGAGGTGACGAGGCACAACCCGGACCCTCCGCTGGGACTGGCTTGCAGAGGGGGCAAAAGCATCAGCAGGAGCCAGCCCGGCCCAGCACCTCTGAAAACTGGGCCCACCAC